ACCCCTGGATGGATCTCATCAGGACCCGTGGATGGATCTCATCAGGACCCATGGACTTGTGCACGTTCAGATTTTTAAGATGGTCTCGAACCAGTTCCTCTCCTACAGTGGGTGCAAGGTCTTCATTCTCACAGTCCCTGCATCTGCCTTCCAAGGCTTGGGTGGTTTGGTCAGAGCCTTTGCCAGTGAAGACCAAGGCAAAGAAGTCATTCAGAACCTCAGCCTTCTCCAAATCCTGTGTAGCCAGTTCTGAGAGCTTCCTGAGGGGGCCTACATTCTCCGTAGTCTGTTTTTTATTTGCTATGTACTTGTAGAATCCCTTCCTGTTATCTTTAATACCTCTAGCTAAGTCTAATTCTAACTGGGCCTTAACTTAATGAGCTGTTATTCATTACGATGGTGAGTATAGAGAAGGCACATGGCCTGGTAGTTTTATCAATTGTGTGATCTTACTGTAGCTTTCTGATTAAGTAGGATTGAACACCACAGTTACTGGGTCCAGAATTACATGGAATTCTGTTTTGATCCAAGTATATCAGAGGCTAACTTTTGTACAGGACTGCTGAACATGAAACGCTGCTATCTTCATTTATATTTGTAGCATCAGACTATTGCATGCAGCCTTCCACTGCAAAATTACTTCCACTGAAGTTGCTCAGTTAATTGCTATATTTTATGTAATTATTGATTTTAATTTCTAAGTGCTACTTTTAACTAGTCAGTTAGATTCACCTTACCTAGTCATAGCCATACTGATATCCTCTGAGGTTTAACAGAGAAACATTCATATATGTACACCTTGAGAGACCATTCAGCTCACTGTCTTAATAGCAAAGTACCTTTACTGAGTAAAGGTACCTTTACCTTTACTCTACCACTTTACCTACTTGGCAGATACTAAATTTATGCTGTGTGAAAGTAACAAAACCTGTAAATAATGCAGAAATTTCATCCCTTAATTCTGAATTATTTTGAAATGTTCTAATATTCTCATTTCTCTTTGTGCTTTAAAGCATTTAGTGGTTTTAGCCAAGAATGATGCAAACATAATAGGGTTTTATAAACTTGATGTACAATACCTTGATAACTCAAAGTGTGGGATTCAGTTGGCTTTAATAGTAATGATGACATGATCACAGTTCTTTTAACAGGATTTATCACACTACCAAGCTACAATTTTTGTATTGCCCAATATATCACCAAAGCTGTACAAAGACCTTGAAGAAGTTATCCCTGGTCTTTCCAACCGCTGGTAACTCATTGGCACCTTTATCTTCATTAAGTAATTTATATAGTAACATCTTGTTCCTTTTTATTTTATTTTATTTTTCTAGTTTATTTTTTTCAGTGCCCTCTGAGTTCTTTCTAGAGATCTGGTTGCAGCTGTTCTGAGTGTTAGATCTCTTTTTATTTAAGAAGAGTTTAAGCTATTTAAAGCATGGGGTCAGACACTACAGCAATAATAGATGATCTCTAGCTTCCAATGTGTCATAAAATCTGCAAGACATACATGTCGTTTTATCTCATCATCTGCCCACAGGTGCTTGAGCAAGTGATTTTTCTGATATGTACATACATCGATGCATCTGTTGATAACTGATCTACACATAAATTGTACAGAGAATTGCTGTTTTTTTTAACCTTTGAATTTTGATCTGACTAGCCAGGTACAATGCAGCCAATGAGACAAGTGAAGAATGAAGAAACCACATGTTCTGTCAATCCTAAATAGAGACATTTAGTTTTTATCACTGCTAAACTTCCTTAATGCTTTTCATTGATCATTATAATTCATAATTTTGTTCTAATCCAAGCAAAATTTCATTTAAATACAGTTGTTACTCTAGAGAAATATAACTGAATTATTAGGATCCTCTTCAAAACTTACACCTAAAAGAAAATGTAATGTCTTCTGTGCTACACCTAACCTACTATGATGGTAACATTTACTGATTTTCCAGGTTCTCAGAATGTTTAATTCTAGAAATTGCTCCTTCATTGAAAAAGTCCCTCTTTAAAACATGAGTCACAATGAATAGTGTTTCTTTTTTGTTTGCAATAAATACATTTTTAATCGGTATTTCATCTGAACCTACGTGGCCTGTATAAAATATATCATTAACCACATAATAATTTTATGCAGTTCTATTGTGCCAACCTAGCTGGGTTTTGTATATTTACAGGATTAGCATTTAGAATTAAATGATACTGTCAAGTCTGCAAAGTTCTGAGTATTTTTTGCAGGAAGTAGAGAGCGCTAGATCTCTGCTGGGACATATGGTCTCTCCCAGAGAAGTTTTCACTTTGCATAGCCTTTGGCCAAAGCCCACCATCTGTATTTGCAACTTTTCTTCCAGCTGCTGATCAAGGTGAAGAATAGAACATATGCTGCAGAAAGAGCAGCCTTTATATTAGCGTTTGGGTTGTTTGGGCTTTTTTAATATTCAGAGATATTTTCCAGCAAGATGATTCTTAATGTAAACCTTGGGAACATGCAATACTCACTTTTCATCAAATTCAGGTCTTAAAAACATAGGGATATAACTAACAACTCCAGTGCAACATAGACTAGTTACTTGTGGAAAGAATTAGCTTTCTTGATTTTGTGGAAAATGTACTGCAGAAGAATACAGGCATTTTCTTCTTCTATTTCAGATATACACATATAAGAAATTAAACCCACAGTCTCTTATCGTGAACTGAGAATCAGTATCATTGACATACCACTAAAAAAATATGTTTGACACACTGTCGGTTTTATCCTAGAATTACCCCAATGAGCTTGAAAATGGTAATATGCAAGTAATAGAGGATTCTAAAATTACTTGGCAAGACATAATTACTGAGCACACTACTTCCATCCACCTAAATATCGTTGTTTTAATCTAGCTTAGGTCATAAATGAAACCAACTACATAGCAAATATGTCTGCCGCACAAAGCTTCCACATCATTTCAGATAACTTGGCACAGTTCACAGCATCTGCTCCTAGGAAGCCCGGGGAAGAAGCAGCAGGTAGTGCTGCAGGACAGGAATGAAGTGAATTAGTAGAGCTACAGGTATGCCAGCAAGCTTGCATAACAGCTTCTGCCTAGACTATGCACGGTTCCATACAGTGAAAGCAGTCCATGAGTACCAAAATTCATTACACACAAGAAAAAATGATTATAGCAATATAATCTAATGGTTGAATCAGCATGATTGCACACCTCAAGCTTTTCCATTTGCTTTTGACCTTGAACAAAGTGAAAGTTGTAGGACTAAGAATCTTAGATATTTTTAAATACTAAATGGCTGACAAAGACCATAAAAACAAATGGAGGAGCAGCATTTGAAATACATGCCTGCAAAGCTGATGGAAGGCAAAGTACTGAGAAGACAGAATAGAACAGGAGGGTATAATATGTAAAAAAGAGGTGTATTTTTTCACAGGTTTAGAAACATTCAAAATAACGCATCTGCTGTACTGCTGAACCCCATTCCTGTTTCAAAAAGCCCATTCTCTCCATGTTTTACACACAACAAAGAACAGCAATTACTTTAAAAAAAAACCCTGTATATAATAAATAGAAGCTGACTGTGAAGTAACTAGATAAATACATTTTTACTGCTGAGATGCACACCATAGATAAATTTGAAAACAACAGAAAAAAAACACATTTTAAGTTCCATTTTCAACAACTACTTTTAATTTCCTTTCATAATGTTTTTCCTTGTCGTAAGACTATAAACACCTTCGTTTCTTTTTCATTTCCTTAAAACATGCACAGGGAATACGCTAAACATCCTTCCTCCCTCACTGCTCTCTTCAGAGCACTTACATTTATATACTTCTTCCAGGAAATGTACTTGACAAAGCATCACTAACACTTTTATTTTCATAGCACTTCCAAAAATTATATTCCAAGCCATAAAGAGCATTTTAAGAACTAAGTCCTCATCTCAGAACTCGGAGGGAAAAAATATAACACAACTTCCCCCCAGAAATGAACTGAAAACCCTAAATAAATAACAGATAGTCATCAGGCCGAAAGAAGAAAGAACACTCAGCTGAGCTTATTTCCAACATAAGTCAACTGTGTTTGCCCTCATCATTACTCAATACTTTTTAATCTCTTAAATGGAATTTTGAAGGTTAAAAGGATATCTTTTTGGCTCTTAATGATAAAAGTTAGCCCTAAAGCATACATTCTGGTTTATAGGAGCATTTTGGGCACATACTATTCATTGCAAAGGTGTTCATTTTGCCAACAACTCCACTGAAATCCGAAAGAGTAAAGTGGTCATCAATGATGTGCCACATTACTGTCTAAATTTTGTTGTCATGACCATTTTGTATTATATCATTGTAGGCAGTTATTTAAAGGATTTTAAAAGTGTATTTAGGTACCTCCTGTTTAGGAAATATTTTATAAGAATGGCTGCAACGGTTTTGTACAATGATCTAGCATAGATCAGATAAGGTAGATAATGCAAATGCTGTTTTAAGATGAGCTGGGATCATTTTCAAAGTGAACGCCTTCCTAGTGAAGCACTCACACAATACCCGGTTTCATCCAACAGGCATTATGGAAAATATTAATACTATAACTGAATCTTGAGCAGGGATCCATGGTGCAAAGGAACTTGAGTAGAAGTTAGCGCACTAAACATCATTCTGAAACGAGAATACTCATGGGTATTCCCTATATAGCTGTATTTATAGCAACTTGAACTGAAACCATAGGAGTGGCCAGCATATGATTTTTTTTTGCCCTGAAAGACAATGTTGAAGCATATTGGTATTCACACATGTCCTAACGAGATAAACCATTGTACACCAGCCTAGTTTGATCACTGGGCTTTTTATTTGGGTTACCATACCAAATTTCAAACAAAAATTCCTCATTAAGCATTGGTCCTAAACTCACCCATTTGTACTTGCATTCATCTGCCTTGCCAGTATTTTGGACCTGTGTGGGTGCAGTTGTGCACTGAACGAGGACAGACATGAGCCTTACCTGACTGACCAGGGGGTGGGACTCCTGATGATCCTCTGGGCAGACATAAGAATACTGTGAGGACAGCAGCCCTGTTTCCTGAACATGGCTCAATGGCAATTGGTTTGGGAGCACCCTGAAAAAGGAAAATACCAATGTATCATTAAGATTTCCATCACACTTTTACTTGTTTAATTTATTTTAAGGTTCACTGCAACAGTAGGGAAGATATTTTTCCCAGTTATTTCTTTGCATTTAAACAGATTGTTCTACCCATGTTAATTGACTAAAAAATGGGCTTTAACAGCCCACACTGCAAATTTAACCAAACAGAAAAAATTAAATGAACTTAAAGACAATAAAATTATACTTGATTTTATAGCTCACTAAATGTAGTGATACCAACTTCTCAAAGCTTAGAAAACAGCAAAACCTTTTGGTAAACACACCAGTATCTGTGAGTATTAGAATTTCCTCTATTCTACTAAGTACCCATGTGAAATAATCTTACTTACAGCCTCCATTACCTAGGCCTCCTAATATCAAAGCCATAAAATGAGAGAAAAACTATATTACATACAAATATATAAAGATAAAAAATTCTTCTTGAGTTTCCCAGACCAGTAAGTCTGCCTTCTCTGTATCTCTCCTAGCAAACAGATTTCTTTGAGGCAGGAACTGCCTGATTTTTCTTTGGCATGCACAGAAAGCAGGTCCACTGTTTGCATTTAAATAAACTTAGAAATGCTCTGAAAATGTTGAAAATGCAATTATCATATTTTTTTGTCTTATACAAAGCTTTGATAACAGTGGTTTTGCTGATGGAGGTACGTGCTGTTATCAAGCATCTCTCTTATTAGCTATACAGATCTTTTAATTTGCAGTCAGCTTTTGACTAAATGGTTGCTGCCATATTGTTCTGAAGTTATCAAGACTGAGGATACTAGAAGCTGGAAGAAATCAAAGCAGTCTGAAGATCCATGAATAGTAAGTTCTAATATAACAACTTAAAATATTTCCATATTTCCATGTTTCCATGATTTGTGCTCACTAAGAGATAGCCATTTCATTTCATTTTTGATAGCTTAAAAATTTAGTCAAGAGCTAAAGATATTTCTAAAACATCAGGTCAAACTCCACAGAAGCATTCATTTCTTTTCTGGTTTTGTAAATTTTTAGAATGTCTGTCATGTTCCAAGGCAAAATATGAGTCTGATGTTTTGATTCAAAATTCAAAGCCATAAAACTTTCCATTTACATGCAAGATTCGATGTACATATAAATGTCAACTGACTCAAGTGTACTAAGAAAAATGATATTTTAGCCAAGTGTATTAAATACACTGCAAAGTACTAGATATAAAGAAAACAAAGGCACTTCCATCATGTAAAGCAATTATCATTTTCTATTTTTCTACCTCCAAGTAACCAACATTTATTACTGCTCAGTGAAGATAAGGAAACAGAATACAGCAATAAATTGAGCAATAGATAAATATACCTTTTTTTTACTTCATGGTCATATTTGAAAGGCATTTCTGTCGATTCATTTGAGGTGATAGCATTAACATAACTTGGGAGAGGAATGCCATCTAATTTAAATTTAAATTTAAAATAATCAGTGACAACTGTTCACTAAAATCTTCCCCCAAAAATGAAACAGAAGAGCAAAACCTTAAAAGCTTCAGCTAAAACCAAAACCATCCAACTTCAAAAAAACCCAACATAAGGTATATTTTGTAAGCAGAGTGCACTGGACTTGTAGCACTTAATAATCATATATAATTTTTTAACATATTGGCTTAATGTTCACCAAAGGAACAGATGAAGAGACCAGGTTCTGAACTTGTGTAAACTGGTGTATATCTGTTGACTTCCACAGATCTATTGTCAATAAAACATTTAGACAGGCATTGCTGGATGACATGACTCTATTAAAAGCAATGCAGAAGAGATGAAAAACAGAACAAAACCTTAATAACATTAACAGCAGTGGTTGCACATGCAGTACTACAAAAGTAGTACCAGTGGGTTACTGGAAAAGAAAGCGAAAGGTGTGGGGAAAAAGATCTTATTCAGAATCCTTTGACTTATGCATATTGAAGGCAAATGTAGAAAAAAAACAACATAGAAAAATAATGGTAACTCTTCAGATCATAAAATTTAATATAGGAAAAGGTCCTGATGGGATCGTTCAGATTAGCAGGTAGTCTGTGCCCTGGGCTGTTTAAATCTAATCAGATAAGCATAGGCATATAGTAATACAATATAAAACAGTACTGACAGAAACCTGGCGTAGTTTCTCTGCTTCTCCCACTATTACATGCTTTCATTCGCTCCTGTTGCTCTTTCAGCTGTCAAAATCCAAGATTTCCTGACTGTCATACACTCATATCACACCTCTCCTTGGACCTGAATTTGTGCCCTGTCATTCCAGTACTTCTACCTGTTATCTCCCTCCTCAACCATCAAGGCAGGGATACAGCTCCATGCCAGCTAAGTTCATCTCACTTCAATCTCATGCTTCCCTCTTCACTGTGCACTGGCATCTTCAGTGCAAAACAGACTTTCCAGGCCTAGGGAAGTTCCTGCTGCAGGAGCTGTGAGCAGAGCTCGATGGACAGAGTGCTATAAACCAGGGAGGTGGCTAGGCAGTGACCCCCATGCACTCGCTAATATTACAAATAGATTTTACAAATGGGCCATCTTCCACTACATACTAGAACAACAGCACCTGAATCCATGCATGACATTTACAGTTAAAATAGTTGGTAATACTAATGGAAACAATAGAGCATTTAAGTTATCTTTCGTGGTTTGTCACAACAGCAAATAAAATAACATGATTCCTTTCTATTTGAAAATGCAGACAAAAATGAAATCTTCATTTTGAAATGTAATTCAGAATATGGTTTATGTGGACGCACAACTGAAAGGAACAGATTTATCATTACGTCTTTTAATTTGGTGAGTAATTATTATAAATCAAAATGATAATATTTTTATTGATGTGCAATATAAAACCTTTCATTAACAGGCCCCATCCTTTTCTATTTGAAGTTTACAATAATGCTTTTCAACACAATTGGAGGATATGATTTCTGACAAACATTTTTTCAGAGGACTTCATCCAAAACTCAAATACAGTGAGAATTTTGTGTTTGTGCCTACTTGTTCTTGATGGAACGTTATGACTGATAAACCAGATGTCTTATCTTACCTCACATCATTCAGATTTACTAGCAAAAACCCACAGAAGCATAGAGCAAATGATAATAATTTAGATAACCTAAGGTTTGTCAGTTGTTTTAAGATAAATACATAACCATGAATCAAAGTTATTTCACAGTGACATAAACATGTTCTGTGAAATGTGCCATTTATCATGCGTTTTCCACAGGTTTCCTGGAAGAGATAAGGCACGTGTTTGTTTGCCTACAGCACTTAGCTACCAGGATTTCCTTGCTAGAATTACCTTTTTTTTCCCCTTGTACAGAAAGTGACATATGTTTTTGCCAAAAACCACAAACGACAATCACAGAGTTAATAAAACTCTATCAGTGGAGGGCAGAATAAACAAATATTTATTTAACACCATTTTACTTTTATATTCCCTTTCTTGCTCACAGCATGACAGAAGGAGGTATGTCACCTGGGAAGGTGAAAAGTAAAGCGGAAGAAAACCACAAAGGAATAAAAGGGTGAAAGAGCATACGGTACTACTGAAAGTAAGAAAAGCAGAGTAAGTCAGCGGGTGTAAAAAGAAGAAAAAAGTGGAGAGGGTAAGGAATAAAACAGAATGAGAGAGAGGGGAAGGGAGGGAGAGGAAGAGGGTTTTATCCACAGTTTCAATGTGCAGTCATATACTCACAGAAAACAAATATCAGAAGTCATCTTCCTGATGTCCTAGATTTCTATCAGAGAGAAGGTTCTCCATTCTCCAGATTCTTTTTCTGATAATCCTACAAAGACCTAGCTGAAGTCCCGCTGCATGGGTGAGTTTGTGAGGAATCGCTGAGCTTTGAGAAGATTCTTTGCTCACCCTTGATCTGCTTCCATAAGGAATAAATTTTGGCTAGATTTTTTTTCCCTTTACAAAGGACAGATGGCAATGCTGCCATTACTGGCATAAAAACGTATGTCAGTTTATGCCATTATACCTGTATTAAACATATTCCTTTCTAAGTAATTTAGCACATCTGCTTTATAATGACAAGAAAGTAACAAAACAGGTTTAATTTTTATTAAGTATCGAAAACCCCAGCAAATCTTGCAAAGTGTTATTTGGATGTTTAGGAATAACACAAATGAGCAGCTTTAACAGTCCAGACCAAGAAGAAGCTGGGAAGTGTATTCTGTCACCTTTGGGGGCAGAATGGGCAAAAGCAGGCAGCAGCTGAAGAGGTGAGAAGAGCAGGAGAGCACAACAATGACTAAGGGGATGTTCACTGATCTAAGCTATTTGGTTCAGTTGATATGCTGGAGGGAAGGGATGACATCCAGAGGGACCCTGACACGCTTGTGAGGTGGAACATTGCCAGCCTCATGAAGTTCAACGCAGCAAAATGCAAAGTCCTGCACCTGGGCTGGGGCAACACCAAGCACTGCTGCAGGCTGGGCAAAGAAGTCATTCAGAGCAGCCCTGAGGAGAAGGGCTGCTGGCTGATGAGAAGCTCAACACGACCCAGCAGTGTGTGCTCACAGCCCAGAAAGCCAACTGTATCCTGGGCTGCATCAAAAGGAACGTGACCAGCAGGTCGAAGGAGGTGATCCTGCCCCTCTACTCTGCTCTTGTGAGACCTCACCTGGAGTATTGTGTGCAGTTCTGGTGTCCTCAACATAAAAAGGACATGGAACTGTTGGAACAAGTCCAGAGAAGGGCCATGAGGATGATCAGGGGACTGGAGCACCTCCCGTATGGAGACAGGCTGAGAAAGTTGGGGCTGTTCAGCCTGGAGAAGAGAAGGCTGCGTGGAGACCTCATAGCAGCCTTCCAGTGTCTGAAGGGGGCCTATAGGGATGCTGGGGAGGGACTCTTCATTAAGAACTAATAAAAAGTCATTAGGGGCAGGGGGTTCAAACTTAAACAGGGAAGTTCAGGTTAGATATAAGGAAGAAGTTCTTTACTGTGAGGGTG